ATTTATTGAAAAAAACGCACACATAAATGTGAGGTTATGCAGTTCAAGCCTGTGTTGTTCAAGGGTCAAATAGTATTTCTGAAAAGGGGTTAATATCCAAAATACATAAGGAACTCATATAGGTCAACACCAAAAAGACAAATAATCAGATTAAAAAATGGGCAGAGGACCTGAATAGACATTTTATGAAGGAAGACATACAGAAGGCCAACAGGCACATTAAAAGATGCTCAGTATCACTTATTATCAGGGAAATCACAATGAGAGAGCACATCACAGCAGTCAGAACAGCTAGTATAAAAAGAAGAAATAAGTGTTGCAAAGGATGTGGAGAAAAGAGAACCTTTCTGCATTGCTGGTGATGTAAAGTAGCTCATCCACTATGGAAAACAGTATGGAGTTTACTCAAAAATTAAAAATAGATATATCATAGAATCCAGTAATTCCATTTCTGGGTATTTACCTAAAGAAAACAAAAGCACCGATTCAAAAAGATATATGTACTCCTATGAGTATAGCTAATACTATGAGAATAATCTTACAAATAGCTAAGATTTGGAGGCAACTTAAGTGTCCATCAATAGATGAATGGAAAAAGAAGAGGCATATATATATACACAATAGAATATTATTCAGCCATAAAGAAAAAAATCTAGGCATTTACAACAATATGGATGGAACTCAAGGGTATTATGCTAAGTGAAATAAGCCAGAGTAAGACAAATATTATATAATTTTACCTATATGCGGAACCCTAAAAACCTAAACAAATGAACAAATAAACAATAAACAGCCACCCCCACCTCCCACCCCACTGAGAAACAGACTCACAGATACAAAGAACAAACTGGTGGCTGTCAGAGGGAATGGTTTGGAGAGATGGGCAAAACAGATGAAAAAGATTAAGAGGTATAAACTTCTAGTTATAAAATAAATAAGTCATGGGGATGAAAACTACAGCATAGGGAATTTAGTTAATAATGTATAAATTTGTGTGGTGACAGATGGTAAGTACAGTTATGATGAACATTTTATATGCATTATTAATGTCAAATCACTTTAAATCTGAAAGTAATATATTGTATGTCAACTATACTTCAATTAAAAAAATTTTTAATTGAGGGAGCATTGATATTCATTGACTTTTCATATCTAAGAACATTTTCTTTTCATTTGTTCATGTGTATTTCTGGGTCCTGCAGGAAAGCTTTAAAGTTACCTCACATGAGTTCTGCATATTCCTTGTGAAGTTTAGTCCTAGGCACTTTATATTTTTTGCTGCAATTATAAGTGGAGTCTTTTTTTTGTTTTTTATTTTGTAAGAGGGTATTGTTTGTGTGTACATAAATATATGTGTGTGTGTATATATACATATCTTTGCATATGCATACATATATATATGTATGTATATCTCAGAGTTTTCCATAGTTAATTTTATATCCTGCTCCCGTGCTTAATTTTCTATTATTTATATATTTTTTGGTTGATTTTCTTGGGTTTTCCAGGTATATAATCACATAATCTATAAATAATGACAACTTTGTAATGTGTTTTCCCAATAGTTATGTCTTTACTTTCTCTTTTCACTAGTTCCCTTGAATGGTCCTTCCAGTACCACTGTACTAGCAGTGGAGAAATGGGCATCCCCCTTGTCCTCCTCTTTATCTGAAGCAGAAGTCCTCAGTGTTTCCCCCATTAAATTTGGAACTGGCTTTAAATTTTAGAATTAATTTCTAGTCAGACACCACTATTTTTCTCTATCTGGGAAACTGAAAATTTGGTCTAACAGTAAGCTCCATAAATGTCCAATAGTAAGAGTTTGGCTAAATATATTGTGGTGCATCCATTGTATGGAACAGTATAGGAATTAGAAAGTAATATGTACTGTTTTAATCCTTTTTGTTGTTTAAAAAGTCCTAAAGTATGTGCAAGTATGCATGGAAAAGTATCTGGAAAGATATTTATCAAACTAAACTGAAAGTTATAAACTGTAGCCCTGGGAGGAGGTTTCCTGCCCAGGGCAAGTTCCTTATGAATTTGAAAAAGACTTAAGGATGACAAGGGGGAGAAGTTGGGAAGGAAAGGCTTTATTCTAATGGTGCAGTCTCTCCTTGCTCTGAACTTAAGCTGCTCCACTCTGTCTTCCCGCTTGTGCTCTGCCACACTACCACACTGGGAGGGACTCTGTGGGTGGGTCCCCAGTGCCTGGTGGGCACCTGACCAATTATATACAAAGAACAGAGGGGAGGAGAGAATGGGTGCTTCCTCTGCATCCCCACCTTGGACTGGCAATCCTGTGACTGACCACTGGCTCTGCCACCAGTAAACATTCTATAAATATGCAAACATGCTTTTATTATATACACAGTGGGTGCTATTAAGGCAAGGTGGGAATCCCGGTCAGAAAGTTCCATTTTCCCCACAATCCACCCCTCCAGGATTCTCACCTCACAATCTATGCACCCCCAATCTTCTGCAATGACCCCTGTGCAAGAAGGCTAGAGCACTGTAACCAGACAACATAACAACAGAACCATGACAATCCTCAAGACTTAGGATCCAGCTGTATTCAAAGTCTTACATAGATGGAGTCCATAGCTTGTATGTTCCATGGGAGGCCAACAGTTGAACCAGCAGGGATCTCCGGGCATGCTCAGCAAGCAGCAGCTGTTGCCAGGGGACATACCCAACCCACAAAGACTATAGAAGGCAATAACCTTAAGGGTGATAAGACACATGTTTTAATGATACCATCACAGGCAACTCTTGTCCATCAGGTAGGATGCATGCAAGAGAGTGTTCCTATGGTGGGACAGTGGCAGAATGGTGTCCTGTCCTGTCTAGCATACCAGACCTTCACCTCTCTTCCTGTGAGAGTTACTGATGGGTTGATATATAGGGCTACTGGAGTTGCATGCACTGGCCATAATGGTAAAGCAAAACTTCCTGGTAAGATACTCTTACCTTCTGGCCATTTTGGGTATACTACCATGATCTTTGGGGGGTCACTCTATGGTTATTCTAGGAACACACAGGAGGCCAGCTTCCAGGCCTTGTCCCCAAGGTGCCAGAAGGGCCAGCCATTTCTGGTCCCTGTGTTAAAATGTCCAAGGCCACATCCCTTTAATACAGTCTCCAAAGTTCAGTGCAGTTGGTGCTGGTAACAAGGTGTTACTCTGGTGGCCAAATGCAGGCTTCAACAGTTCCCTTGGTTTGTATGTGTAGTTGTGTAGGAGAGGCAGCAATGTGCATTAGCATGTCCACAGGGCTCAGTGTTTCTTTCTGGGGCTTCTCATTCAAACATCATAGCACTGTCCATAAGCAGGCTGACCAGCACTGTAGACTATTGGTGTCTGAATTCAGGCCAGATTTTAATAAACCATTGTACCTCTCTATCATGCCTGACTTGGTAAGGTTATATGGTACATGAAACTTCCACCTTATCCCTAATTGCTGCACCCATTCTTGTAATGCATGTCCAGTAAAGTGGGTGCCTTGATGCTCTCAATCACCTGCGGCCAGCCATAAGCTGCAAAGAGATGCTCTAGGCCCCTTTAGGTCATTTACTGATCTGCACAATGTAAAGGAAAAGCAACCAACAATCCAGTAGCTGTATCCACATGTTATGGCATATTGATACCGTTCTGATATGGGCAGAGGCCCAATATAGTCTATCTGCCACCTGATAAGGGGTATTAGCTCCTTAACTATTGTTCCATGTTGCTGTGGGACTAGGTGTAAGTCCCTCTTAGAGCACACAAGTTACTCCTGCTAGGCTCTGCTGAATTCTTCAAAGGTCGGAGGTAAGCCCCACCAACAGGCTACAGCTCACATTGTCTATTTCCCCACATGCAGCAAACGTTGATGTAACCATTGGGCCACATCAGAGGCAGGCTTTCCTTCCCGCCAATGCACCTGGGCCAATTTGTCTGCTTCATCATTCTCTGGGGATGCCAAAGGCAAATGGCCAGTCACATGATATACTATAATTATTTTGGTCTGACCAGAGGCTCATAGATCTTGCCACAACTCTTGCCCCCAAAGGGGCTGGTGACCAACCATCCAGTTGACATGTTGGTAGCCACAAAGTCACACCCTAATACACAGCCCAGTGGTCAGTGCACATAACTATTGGGGGAACTCTTGGGTGATTATGAGCCATACTGCCCACAGCTCTGCCCAGTGACTGCTCTTCCCTTCTCCATCCTCCATCCATATTGTCTCAGCCTTAGAATGGGAAGCCACAGCCCTCCACTTTGGGGGCTGCCCATTGGCTGGAGCTGTCTGTGTACCATGCTTCTTCAGGTATAGGGGCTCTTCCCTCTTGATAAGGGCTCTCTGTTACTAATGGCTTCAAAGCAAATTATTCCTGCTTTTCACTGGCATATGTCATTGGCCCCAATAAGCATTGGTATTCTTAACTCAAGAGGCTAGATAAAGAGTACTATGCTGCTGTAAATGTGTGCCCCATTTTGCCAGTGTCAGCATCTATGCTACACCACTCCATGGCCTTTGGGTCCAGTCTTGCACCAACCCCGTGATGGGATAGGTGGTAATTACCTTTGTCAGGGTTGTTCCTGTGATGGGCTCTGTAGCCAGAAAGGTGTGGTACACAGCAGCCAACTGCTGCTCTGTCAAGGTGTACCAGACCTCTGCTTCTTCTCAGAATCCAATAGGGTGGTGGGTCTATTCAAGCCACTTCCAGAAGCCCACTCCTAACCATCTTCAGTTATATGAACATCTAGCTTATCACAGGGCTTTGACTGGTCCATCACACTCAAGACCTTTCACACCAAATGATATAAGGGCCTCTGAAATAGTGCCAAGTGAGGGATAAATACTCCCCAAGAGCCCAAAAGACCCCAAAACTCTTGTAATGCTGCCACATTTGTAGGGGTAGGGAAAGCCTGGACTTTATCTATGACTGCTTCTGGGATAACTTAAGTCTTCCCTGACCAGACAACCCCCAAGAAGTTGGTTAGCTAACCAGGACCCTGAACCTTCGTGCTGTTCACAGTCCATCCTTTCTCCTGTAGACTTTGCAGCAGTCTAGGTGCTGCATCTTCTAGATCTGCAAGAGAATCAGACGTAAGCATAATATCAGCAATATAATGATACAGTCACACCATTAGCTGTTTCTGCCATGCTGCCAAGTCTTGGGCTACAGGTCCATGATAAATGGTGGGACTGTGGAGTTATCCCTGTGGAAGGATGGTGAACGTCCACTACCATCCTTCTCATGTGGAGGCAAACTGTTCCTGACTTTCCTGTGCTATGACAATAGAAAAGAAAGCATTAGCAAGGTCCATAACATAATGATATGTCCCCAGTTCATGACTGAGGATGTCCATAAGGGCCGCTATAGAGGGGACAGCAGCATGCAAAGGAGGTATGACTTTATTCATTTCTCTGTAATCCATGGTCATGTGCCAGGAGCTGTCCAGCTTTTTCACTGGCCACACTGTGGAATTAAAAGGACTGTGAGTGGCCTTTATGATGCCCACCTTCTCCAGCTACCCCAGACAATTTATACTGCTTAGTATTTGTCACCAACTGAGGTACAGGCAAAGCTATAGGTGGGTACTCAGCATGTCCCCTTAGAATTGCCTTTACCACACATATCCTCAGTCTGAACTCACCTGCAATGCTCTGTAACCATAGGCCCTGCAGGATATAAACCCCTAAAATATATTCAGGGATGGGAGAAATGTACACAGTATACTCCTTTGGGGGTAAATGCCCTATTCCCAATTTGGGCTTTCTTCACTCTAATTGCCTTACCCCCATAGCCATCTATCATCACAGCAGGGGTCCCAGGAAAAAGATCAGGGTTGCCATAAATCAGAGAGTAGTCAGCTTCTATGTCCACCAGCACCAGGACACATTGCACATTCACTGGGGAGGTGCTAATTCAACATGTGGCCTCTAGTCTCCACCACGTCCTCCAAGGTATGGTACTTGACCCCCTCCTCAGTCAAATCGCAACACCCAATCATCTTCCTGTGGGGTTGGTGGTCCAGGAGGAGTTGGAGTACTCTCCCCCAGGATGTCCCGCAGGCCGGGCGTGGGGCTTTGCCTCTGCTGTCTATATCTTGGACCTCTGTGGCTGGACCACTGCTCCAGCTTTAACTGTTGCCACAGCTCTAGCAAAAGCTTATTGGACTGTCCATCTAGCTTCTCTTTTACTGCCCCTTCCTTTATCAAATCAACCCACATCTGGGTCCTCAAGACCTTCACAGGGCTCTTTAAACCTTTGCCCTCAGTAGCAGACCATATTTCCTTCCATGTTCTCATTGTCTCAACGTCTCCCAGATCTGTGATAGTTATGAGTAACTTCGTGTATGGGTTGCGCTAAGTGAGGTGCAAGAATAGTCACTAGGGACCCAAAGAGGGAAGTGGGAGCTATTTGAAGCACCACATTTCTCACCCCATGGTGAAAAACTTGTCTGTATCCTGATGTTCCATGTTATGAATGACCGCCTTCATGTCCAAGTCCGGTAACATCTTTTGGAGCTCAGCATAAGTCTGCCATCTAGTTGGGAAAGATGGCAAACCACCCTGATTAGACCATAGGGCCCAGAGGGCTGCAGTCACCCAATCCAGAAAAGTGTGGCTCTCTGGGGTCTGAGAAGCATTTTATATTCTCTGCCAGAGAGAGAGGTGAGTCATCCAGGAAGTCAGCTTCCCCATTTCTGACCCAGATAAAAAAGTGCCATCTACTCCGGAATCCCAAAGACGCAAAAGTCATGTGGACAGAGGCTCCAAGGGCTTTTGCTGAAACTGGGAGGTCAAATCCACCAGCTCAGCCTGGGTACAGGGGCAGAGCATGGAGTGCTCCACAACCTGGGGACGGGGCTGCACCTCTCCTGAAGGAGCCCGGATTTCTGTGTCTTTATTTTCTTAACTACAGCTAGGTGGGCTTTCAGTAGGGGAGGTGCTGCTGTCTCCAGGGACTCCAGCACAGCAGGACTGGCAGTGGCTCTGCCCTTGGCCCCACCCCTCATCCTTCCTGGCTTCTTCTCCCCCAGCTCCTCCTCTACCATTTCCCCAGTTGTAGGCAGCACCCCTCTCTTCACCTGCCCTATGGCATCTCACAGCCTGCATTCTTCTGCCCCTTCCCTTGCAACTAGTATGTCTCTCAGCAGTGCCATCTCAGTTTTTAATAACTTTCCTTCCTCACGGCATCCCCCAACTCATATTTCCATTCTGCCACTTCCCTCTGAAGTGTATCGCTGTCCTCGGCAACCCTCTGGAATGCTGTGAGAAGCATCCAACCCACAATTCCTGTTGCCACGTGGGCACTCAGTTCCTCTAGGAAGTTCCCTTTTCACCCAGGGCCAACTCCACTGCCTCAGGTGTCCTCACCCCTCCCGTGTTCTGGGGAGGGCCCAATCCTTTAAAAGGCAAATCACCCCAGACCAAATCCCCGCTGGAGAATCCCCTGGTGTTCTCCTACCATCCATAAGGCCAGCCCACTGAAGCATTGCACCCATGAGGACAGCCCTTCGATTTCCCTGGATCTTGCTCACTATGTCAAAATGTAGCTCTGGGAGGAGGCTCGCTGCCCAGGCAGGTGCCCTATGAACTCGATGAGACTGAAGGATGACAAGGGCGAGAGGTTGGGAAGGAAAGGGTTTACTCTCACAGCTCAGTCTCTCCTCACTCTGAACCCCAGCTGCTCTACTCTGGCACTGCTTGGGACCCGCTCGAGCATTGGCTCCCAAGCTCACTCTCTCCTGGTTGCACTCTGCACCCCGAACCCTAGCTGCTCTGCTCTTTACCCCTGCACCAGTGGAACCCTGTGCCTGCTGGGCTCCTGACCAATTATGTACCAGGATCAGAGGGGAGGAGAGAATACGTGCTTCCTCTGCACCCCCACCCTGGAATGGCAATCCTGTGTCTGACTAGCGGCTCTGCTGCTGGTAAAGAGCTCATAAATGTGCAAACATTCTATTACATACTCAGTGGACGCTGTTAAGGCCAGATGGGAATTCTGGTCAGAAAGTTTCATTTTTCCCACATAAACATATAAATAGTGGTTGGTAACATTAATCACAAATGATTTGCAAAAAAGTTTTAAAATTTTGGTACAATTACAAATTTCATTAGAAATTTAAGAAAAACATATCCATGTTTTCCCCCTTCCTCTCTTCTGAATCCTCTTCTGCTAATACAAATTTTTTTTATCACTTACTATTTATAAAGTAGCACTGAAATGATAGTGTAGAAAGGGGTTTACAAGATATAAGCCACAAGGAAAAAGAGAACAGGAGAAAAGTCTACAGCAGATGAGAGGTTTCAATAAATTTTGGAAGCCAGAAGTTGGATGGCATAGAAAGAACTGACTTGGCAAGGGGGAAGAGGGACTAATTCAAGTGCATGGAGGAGACTTGTCACTTGGAGGTGCAGTGTAGCATGAAGGCAGGGGTGAGGCATAAGCCTGAGGAAGCGGGAGTGCCCTAAAGTTGTTCATAAAACTCTTGAACCACTGAGTCCCTTCCCCATCTCATGCAGCTAGCCTGCACTCACTCACTGCAACCTGACCGGATCACCACCACAATCCCTCTATTACACATGAAGTTTCTTTTCTGAAGATAGGTGTTTATCTTTTGAGGAAGAGTTTCCACAGTAAAAGGTTATCATAGAATGGGAAAGAAAAATATGTTTGAAATAGAAACTTTAGTAGAAGGTTGAAAGATAAAGTTAAGTATTTCTCCTGGTCCCGTATTTTTCAGTCTTGCCAGGACTGACAGCTGGGGCTGGCAATTGTCACGGGAGGCTGTCCAGTGCATTGTGAGATGGATAGCAGCCTCCATGGCCTCTGCTCACTGGCTGCCCGTGCATGCCCCTTTTCCCTGTGGTGACAACCAAAAATATCACCAGACAGTGCCAAATGGCTAGGGTGGGGAGAATCAATCCTCCTGCTTGTAACGGAGAACTTCTGTCTTAGACAATAGAAAAGAAAGCTGCACTGATGATCAATAGGATACAAGGACATTAAGTCTAGAGAATAATACAGGAGCTCTAACATTCTACTAACAACAGTTCACAAAGAGAGAACAATGAAAATGGGAGGGAAGAAATTAACAAAGAAATAATAATAAAAATATTGCAGATAAGATTGAAAGAACCCTTGAGGGCTCAACACCATCCATGATAAAAGACCTAAGACTTCACTGTGATCTTTCAAACTACTAGTGATAATGGGAAGATTCAAGAAAGAGAAACAGGTCAGATACAGAGGAATGGGAGCTAAAAGGCACTAGACATTTCAATGACAACAGTGAAAGTAAAAAACAGTGGAATGATGCTTCAAAAATGTTCAGGGAAAATGACCTTCAACTTATTCAGACTATCAATTAAGGGTGAGACTAGAAATAAAGACATTTTCAAACATGTAAGCACTGTAAAAATTTACCTTCTACGCATCCACTTTAAGTTACCAGAGTCTGTGCTTCAGGAAAATAAGAGAGTAAACTACTAATCATGTGTTTGTGCATTGGAAGATATCATTAATGGGCATTCAATAGATATGTGAAGCATTTGGATAAAATTCAGGTTAGCTATATTAAAAAAATAAGGGAAAAAACAAGGCCATTATTAACTCCAGGAAGTGTTATCATGGCAACTTAACTTGATTCAACAATGCACTCACTATATTTACATTTTCAGGATGATATAAAACCTAATTATTGACATGAATGAAAGTTGTGATGTGGCTATATTAATGGTATGTGTAAAGAGCTAAATCCTCAATTTCTATGGCAAGAAGTAAATATATAATGTCTAAAACTGAAAATTAAGAAACATTGGTAAAAATGTATTACTTAGGAAGTGAAGAACACCTACTAGGGTTAGGTGGAGCACGGGGTAAAGCTAAGTGAGAAGTTGGTCAGGGGACTGATGTAACTCATGGGTGTTTTTTGTTATGTCTTTAAGAATCATTTGAATTTTCCTTTATATGTACTACTTTCATTAAAAATGAAAATGCAAACAAAAGCAATACATATTTATTATAGGAGAAATTTCACGTAAGATAAGATTAAGCCAAAAGAACACCGAAGACACAGAATCTCATCCACCCAGAGATAACCACTATTAATATCATGAAATAGTTTTATTCTCGAAAAATTCTGAAAAACAAATTAAAGTACTTTTAAATACTCAAAAAATCTTACAAAAAAAGTTCTTGAGATAGTAAAACTACCAATAAAGGGAAGAGTAGTGCCTGGGGTTATTCATTTTTTACCAGATCAACCTTTCTAATCAAAATGTTCAGTATAATTTTGTTTGTATCTTCAGTAATGGAGCAAAGTGGAGCACTGAGACATTTTTCCAAAAATACTTTTTGCTTCAATAATCTTATTTGAGAAAGAAGTAGTTTTTGGTCTCAGTTTTCCAAACAGTTGGCTCTGTTAAGAAGTTGAGGAATTTTTGGAAATAAATTTATCAGGAAAATTTGCCTCTAAAGGATTTTTGTGTTTTCTTTTCTTTTTAAGCATGGATGAATAATTTCACTTCCATGAACTGTCTGTTTGAACAGTGTTAATGAAAAAAAGTAAAAAGTGCAATTCAGCTTTGATACCTCAGGTTTAAAATGTAGAAAAACCAGATGGTCAATACAGAGTTTGGAGGAACTGTCCTTGGAAAGGGAATGTTGGTAAAACAAAGTTAAGAATAATTCAAGATATAAATGTGAATAATGAAATGTACACTTTTAAAGAAATTAAGTTGAGGAAAAATATGCAGCTGATATATATTCTTCTACCTCCTAAGGTCATTTGAATTTTGATAAGTTTACCTGTTTCACAGTTCAGCTAGTATTTGCTGAATTCTTTCATATCTCAGGCCTTTGATGTATTCACTTACATACTCGGAAAAATCTCACAAAAATCCTATGGGTTTGGTCATGCACCTGTAACAGCCTAACATGAAGAAATTTAGTGGGACACAGGGTCAATTTCTGTGGGTTGACTAGGCCTTGGCTACTGCTGTGGGTGTTAGAGAATATGCGTATCAAAGATAACGATGACACATTTATCAGGAAAAAAAACAGAGCAACTGTCAGCCACTGGAGACAAGCATAAAAGAGAGTCTGGAGGAGTTGGTCTAGATGCAGAGCCCTGAGAGAGAATATATACAATCTGAACTTGCATGGCTGAACCCACAGATGTGTACATAAACCATCCCACCCACGGTGAGTTATGATAATAGCTATGTGAGTGTATGAGGCAGGTATGGGGTAAACAAAGGTTGTCAAGGACTATGCACATTGTGAAGCAACTGTGGTGGGACAGGTTGTGGTCAAAGGGCATTGGTGCCAGGGTATGCCCTGAGAGTCTTGGGGAGGAAAAGGGGAACATGCACTTGGGGGCCTGCAGGATATTCCTTGACTGCAGGGCAGGTTTCTGTCCCTGAAAGGGGAATTGGTTTTCTCTTTCTAAGTTCGTCTGAGGTCCATTTGCCAAGACTGGGGTCTTCAGAGATAACTGAGTTATTAACCCCATTTTACAGCTGAAGAAATTGAGCCTCAGTAAGATTCAGTTAGTGTGTGTGTGCATGTTAATACTAGGTAAAATATGTTAGTGCTATTGATAGACACTTCTTACAAATAACTGCTCATTGTTATTAATGGTGGTGGTAACTAATTAATGACTTTAGAACTCACCTCTTTCCAAAATAGGAAGTGTGATTGCGTTTTGCAAATTATAATAGACTAAATGTACCTTTTCATTATTTTATTCAAAAAAAATATTGATCGAGAACACTTGGAAGTTCTGAAGCTGTATTTAGCAGGTCAGAATGGCTGCTACTGAACAGCAAACTTTATGCACTGGGTAACTTGGAATTCTTCAGTCAGCAACAAAAATTCAAATCCTACTTCCCCAACTTGACAGCAGAGGGGCTCACGGTGTGGGTGGACAGCTAGTGAGTGCACTTTCGAGGTATTTTTCAGGGATTCCGGAGAGAGCGTGCATCTTCCACACGCGCTCCCTACGCATTCTGGAATGCACCTGCAGCCCCAAACAAGGTCAGGTCTGAACATTTCGGTCAAGTCAGACGTGGCAGGAAAAATCAGCAAGTGGCCTTTCATTTCCTTCCTGATGATCAAACTATGCACTTCAGCCATGCAGAATTGGGGCATTTAAGGCAGAATGTAAACTCACAGTTGCAAAGATTTTTGGTTACGTGGAGAGCCCAGGTACTGACCGTTGCGGAAGCGTACTCAGGCCGTTCTTCTTACTTGCTACTTTTGCTACCTGCTTTAGAAAGCCGGGGAACCGCACGCTCTGTCTCTGGAGAGGTGTGTTTTGCTAGGATCCCACCGCAGCCCGCCTCGGATGTTCCCGTTTTTGAGCCCTTTCCGGGACCCAGGTTCTAGCCCCCGAAGTTCGGCCCCGCCCACTTTGGCCGAGGGTCGGAGCCGCCGCGAGCCGGCGCGGGAGCCCGAGCGGCCGCGGCCCCTTTAAGGAGCCGCTCTGCGGTAACCCGAGCCCGCAGTCCGGGCGGGCGCGGCGGCCGGGCGGTATAGCTGCAGCCTCGGTGACTGCTCCTGCACGCGGCCCGGAGCCCGCGGCTCCCCGGGCTCCCGCCGAGCATCTCGCAGGACGCCTCTGGCTGGCGCCAGCTCTCGGGCCGGGCCAGACGGCCAGGCGCCTCTCACCACCCGCCGTCCTCTCTCGGCCCAGTGCAGCAGCCGCCCGCGCATGAGTCGCCCCAGAACCCCGAACAGGTTACGCTGTTTGGAGGGGAACCCGGGAGGAGGGCGGGCTCGCCTTGCCCCGCGGCTCCCCCGCGCCGCCGCGCGCAGCCGGCCGGTTGGGGCGCCGCGGCTTCCCGCCCCCGGCCTAGAGCGGCGGAGGGCTCTGCCGCCCCGAGGCTGGGCGGACGCCCCGAGTGCGGGAGGCGGCCCGGGGCGCTGGGCGGGCTCCGGCAGGTGTGTGCGGCCGGGCAGCATCCTCCCGGGCCCGCGCGCCCCGCCACCGCTTGGGCGCAGACGGGGTCCCGGGGCCCCCGCACCGCCCAGACCCCGCGTTCCCCTCGCGGTTCTCTGGCTGCGCGGTTTCGTGCGCCCGGGTCTCTGCCTGGCGGCGCCCCAGGCTCTTGGCTCAGAGGGGTGGGTGCTTCGGCGTCCACGGAAAGCCTTCTTGTTAGCGGCCGCCGGTACACAGGCACGTCGAGTGGGCGAGCCTCCCCGTCTCCCACCTCCCCCTACTAAATAAAATAAGATTTGTTTACCCTTGCAGTTATCAAGTGGGTCCCATTTTTAGCCTCCGAGTGCTGAAGAGTCTAGTGGGAGAGGGACTGGGCGCAGAGTCAGAGGGAGAAATTGGATTTCTCTTTTTAACACTGGGCAAGTTTATTAAACTAAAAGCCTCTGTTTACCTAGCCATGATACGGGATCTGTAATGCTAGCATTTTCCTTCCGCCCCAAGACGGTAGGAAAACCTCTGTAAAAGCATTTTGAGTTGTCTGAGTTCATTAAAGGGTCTCTGTTGCTGGTCAGTGTTAGTTGTACACATCTCAGTGTTAATGTGGCGTATACTTTTATATGAACTATAAAATTTTTCTTTGACAATGTTTAAAATGCATCTGAGGCCAGTCTGCGGACAAGAAGGAAGAGTATGTGTGAATATTAGAAGTTGATGTGTGAAGTAAGAAAAACAAACCGTCATTTTTGTAAAATCTTTACTCAGTCATAAATGGAGTTGAGAAAAATGGGTCTTTTATTGTGTGTGTGTTTTAAGTGAGATACTGCTGTGTAAGCAAGCAGTGTAGGTCGGAATATAACTTTACTTTGTGTAACCAGTTAAAATAATGTGGTGGAGAATTCCAGTTCCCTTTTAAGTGTGCTGTATATGAGGTAGAAATTTTACCCCCTTGTTTTATCTTCTCCTTAAATTGTATGGGTGAAACTAAATTAGAAAAGTGAGTTCTTGCCACACTAGAAAATTGGAAAGAATTGCTTGAGGAACCATGGGCTTTTATTTATTTGCTGCTTCCCCTGTCTGGTGCCGTCAGAGGATCCAGAGAAGAATGTATTTTGACTTCTTTTCTTCTTACTCCTGAAACTCCTTCAGCATGTTAACTCCTTAGCGAGTTCAAATCCTTACATGTGATCTTGCATGAGTTTACCTGTCTGAAGCTAGATGCCCTGTGGGCCAGCTGCTCAGGTCACCATAATTGTTTACACTACTAGCTTTCTGTTTTATCCTTTTCGTTCTAAGCCTTCTTTACCTTGTTGGAAAGAATAATGACTTTTTGCAACTAAAGCTGTAAACTTGGTGTGCCTTCTGATGGCAGTGTTCAAGGGGCTGAAACTTTATAGCAAAGTCTGAAGAAGCTGAATCTTCTGAATAGACCCTCTAATGTGGATGCAATAATAATTAACCTACCTTTTCCTTCATTTCCTGAAATCTCCATTGGAGAGGGATTCATTTGATTAGCAGGGTAAACAGAGGACTTGGGTGCTGGGAGCTATCAGCAGTCTAACTCAGTGCTAGACTGCTATTACCAGCAAGGAGAAGGGTGGAGGAAGTGGTGACTTGAGAGGGGACGGAGGGCCCTCCCAGTAACTGGAGGACCAGAGAGATAGGGGGGAAGCCCTGGCCTCCCAGCGAGACAGTGGGCAAGCTGAGAATGGGAGTGCTGGAACTTCCAGGCACATTCTGGAAGTGTGACTTGCTCTTCTCTCCCTTTCCCTTTGAGAGTGTGTTTTGCCCTTCGGAGCCTAGAACTGTCCTATGGTTCTCAGACCCGTCCACCCTCCCTTGGTGCTCTGGAGGCCCACCCATCATTTATGTTCCTTCCTCAAAGCAGTCCTTCTATGTATGAGAGGAAACTGAGAAGTTTACTGCATAAGAAACCCTGAGACCTCGGTCTTTCCTGGTATACTTTTCTCAGATTAATGTCCCATGTCCTACAGATTAAGGATTCATTGAGCTTCGATATCTCTTAGAAAGTTAAAAAATGGGATAAACAGTTGGGCTGAGAAAAGTAAACTGAACAGTCTACAGGAAGATACAGAAAACTAGTTTTTCTGTAGAGGAAGATAATGAATGAATTGGGTGAGAACTGTGGGCAACTGGATGAGGGAGGGCAGGACTAGGGGAGGAGCTGTGCTGGATGACTTGTGCCCTCACCTTGGGAGAAGAAAGGATGATGCCGTGTGCCTATGGTCACCTTACTGTGCTCTATTTCCATTTGCTTTGCAAGAGGAAGAAGACAGCAATAAGGAGGTGGAATAACCATCTGTTCTCAAGGAGTTTAATACAACAATAGGGATGAGCTGTATTCACCTGGCATCTGTATCAGGCACTGCATATATTACACCAGAGAATGCATTACATCAGGAAAGTAAGGTTAATTTTATAAGAAAATCTAGGGTATTTCAAGACTGAATTTAGTAGTTTTTTTTCCAGTTGGAGATGAAAGATAGCACACAAAGAAATGGAGACCTACTGTTCTGAGGTTTGTTATTCATGGTGAGACAGTTGGATGTGCTGCAAGCAGATCCCAGACCTGAAAAGAGGCAGGAATAGCAAAGGATTTTTTAAATTTTTTTGTGCTTAGGACTTTGGTCTGTTCAAGGAGAAGGCAATCCTGTGGCTACATGAGGAGGAACTTGTGAATCATTGTAAAAGGCCAAGGCCTGTGAAAACAGACAATGAAGAAGGCAGCTGGAAGTCTGTTCAGAGCTTGAGCCAGCATAAGGAAAGGAATCACTGAGCAGTGGGATGAATAGCAAGGGGGGGGTGTCTAACTGGGTGGACAAAGGCTCGTCTAAAGCAGTGTTTCAAACACTTCTGGATTACAGCAGAGTACAAAATGCATTTCTACATTGAGACCCAGGACATAAGTGTAGGTGTATCTGAAACAAGTTTCATGATGCAATAGGTACCCCTATTGTGTATTGCATTGTTTTCTGTTTCGATTTCTACTCTATTTCTGTTTCTGTTCTCTGTTCTGAAAAACTCATAACCTATTAATGGATCAAAGTCCGCTATTTGGAAACCATTTGTCTAATGGGTGGAAAACAGTTGGCAGTGGATCAGGCTGAGCATTGGGAAAGAGGAGGCGAAGCGGGGAGCATACAATTGGTTAGGAGATATCTGGACCCTTGTCTGTGGGGACAGAAGAGAGTGTGGGAACTCACTGGGTATCTCGTGGATATAGGACTCACATTAATGAAAAGTGGCTTATGGGCAGGTGCTCAATGGGGACTTTGTGCGAGTTCTCTCTGCTTCAAGGCAAAATACTTGATTTTGAGGGAAGAGGGAAGAGGGAAGTTTGGAAGGATAAACTTGGATTTGAAAGCAGTGTCTTAAAGCAGTAGATTTTCTCTGTGGGTTAACAAAAGAAGACAAATGGATCCAGAACAAATCGGCTGATGGATTTAGGCCACATCCACTTTCATCAACTGGATAGAGAACAAAGGGGCTCATAGGGCTGAGTAGGTGGGAAGGAAGATCACATCTCCCCTTCTAGCTTTGAGAAGTTTGTGCTGAAGTGGATGGAATGTGATGCTTCAAAATTCCATTTGCTGATCACACCTGTTAGGAAGTTGGCTGCTTGCCTCACAATTGGAAAAGTATTTTCATTACTTTTTATAAAGGGTTCGATTATCAAGACTTCTTTAGACATTTATTTCAAATCTATACTCAAACTGGAACCACCATTCATAGTCTTTGGGATTGCCCAGAGAGCATCTTAGAGAAAGATGTGAGGCAACACCCGGCATCCGGCATCCTTGAACTAATTCCAACGTCTGTGCCCTGGAGTTAATCACAGGCAGAATCTGTCCACTTACCTTTGATTTTCTTTTAGTAAAAATTAATATCTGATTCTTACACCTAACACCCTCACCAGCAGGTAAACACAACAAAGCCTGGAGGAAAGGTACACAGGTAACCTTACACTATTTTGTAAGTACCATCCTTCTTCCATGGACTAAATGCAGAATTTTGTTCTTTTTTTTAAAAAAAAACATTATTATAGTTCTAATACTTTAATGCCATCTAAAACATCCTCACTTCTTGCTTTGTCAGTTGCAAGCTTAGTGTTAATGGATAAATGGGTTCTAGTCACATAAATTCCACTAAAATTGTATATTCTATACTACATTGTAGAAAAAATTATCCAGGAGTAATATCCGATTGCTGTTTTCATTAATCGTGTATCCCTTTAGGTCCTGTTAAAGCTATTTCTGGATGAAACCCTTGAACTTACAATTCACCCTAATGGCCTTTCCCTGGGCTGTGCCAGGCCATGACACTGCTGGCTGGCACTGAGGAGCGTGATGTGAAACAGCTTCATAAAGCAAGGT